ATATATACAGATATTTTATTTTATTTGAGATAATTATGAAAAAAAAAAAAAAATCTTGTGTGTAAAAAATGTTTTCTTTTTTTCATAAAATATTTTGAAGCAATCAAAAAATATTATTAATTATACATTTCAAATCTATTTGAAAACTGAGTTGCAAAGTAATAAATTAATGTATATGTTTCCATTTATAGAACGACGACAGTATTCGTTGCAGATACACATAAAATTCTTTCAACATTTGGAAAACGTGTATTTCATGTCTTTTTGTAATGCTTTTGATCTTTAATTTTTTCTTCTAATTCACTGAGTATGCTTGGTACATGTTCGAGAAGTTGTTCGTCGGTGAGCTTAAAGTCCTCGTCAATCCATATGTGTCTCAATTTTATTAAAACTTGACTAAATAATTTATGGTTCGGCACGCGTTCTTTCATCATATAACCATTGATAGGAAATTTCGGAATTTTCCATTGTTCTAGTTCATCCAGAATTTTCATCGCGCCACGATATCTCAACACCTCCTTCACGTATTCTCGATAGACATCATATTTGTGTGTTTGTTGAGTGAAGATCAGTTTCTGATAGAGTTTTAACGGTTTCTCAGAAGGCTTGTACTCCCTATGCTGCACCAGGAATAACGCCAAGTCTCTTTCAGATCTGGACAGTTTCAATCTACTGTGCAGCGTCATTACCTCATCTTCGTTTTTCAACATCGACACTATTAAGGATATGGGCTTCAAAGTTACATTATTGGATGAGGCGCATTGATAAACGCTTTGAAAATTTTCTATGGCAGGTTCCTCGGGTAGACCGATATATTTGCTGCTGCCACATTCGAGTAGTTTCAGAGTCAATTCTAAGGCGAAATTGCCCATCAGAATCTTACTCCACTCGCTCCAGATTCTCTCGCCAGATATTTGTGACAGACCATCGATATTTTCTTTCATTGCCTTTATCGTAGCCTCATCGTGTTTATCAGGACTATCCATTATTCTTCCATAGAAACGGAAATACCTAGCGCAATTAAATGATGTGCAATGTAATAAGTTTTAAATATTGAATAAGTAACAATAAATGCATTTAATATTTGGTAAAAAATGCAAGACATATGTCATATTAAAATATTATATAATCATAGATAAATATGTATACCAATATATAAATACAACATACCTGAGAATTCGTAGATAATCTTCACGTATCCTAAGACTAGCGTCGCCTACAAAAACCACTCGTTTTTTCTTCAGATCCTCGTAACCGTAAAAATAATCGTACAATGTGCCATCGAGGCCAAGAAACATGGAATTAATAGTCAGATCTCGTCTATTTGCGTCCAGCTTCCAATCCTTTGTATATTCCACCTGCGCGTGCCGTCCATCAGTCAGAACGTCGATACGCAAAGTAGTAATTTCAAAGTTCTCCTTATCATTTATTCTCGCCGTTATCGTTCCATGCTTCTCCCCTTTCTCATTTATCATTCTGATCTCCTCTTTAGTGAACATATCCTTCATCTGCGGCGGTGTAGCATCGGTTGCGAAATCGAGATCCTTGGGCTGTTTACCCATGAGAATATCACGAACGGCGCCGCCGGCGATTCGTAATTCGTAATTATATCTCTTGAATAAATCCGCGAGGGTCTGCAATTCCGGTGTGAAAACGGAATGAAATTCCGGACAGTCTAACTTCATGATGACAGGATCGATTCTTGACAGCGGGTCGGTATTTCTAACCTTCGTCCAAGACTTTTGCACAGTTCTCCTTACCAATTTATATCTTCCTGTCTGAAACAATAATAAAAATAATCGTTATACTTGTCACATCTTTTTTTTGCATTTTATCTCTAGAATTATTCAAAGAAATCCGTCAGTATTTAAATCGACATTTAACATAACCTAACCTAACTTCGACGGTTTTTAATTTATCTATGCTGCGAAAGAACGATTGTCTTACTTACGATTTCGTGACGAAGGAGATTTGTTGTTCGCCGAGCTAATGCCCTTAACATAATTCGTACGCGTGTATTATACTTTTATACGTAAATCGCACGTGTTATCATACACACTCACATCTCGTGGCATTTCTAAAATTCAAACACTTTTTTTCTGGTATGCATCCAGTATCCAGTACGGCATATGCGTAGAAGTATTTGCTACAATCTTGCTAATTTTTTTTAAATATATGCTAGACGTATATTATAAGCGCACTTTCACTATTCATTTTTATATATATTGTGTCATTAGATACGAGAAAAGAAAATATTTGAAAAATTATAAAAAATACGAAACGGATGTGCAAATCTTTTATTTCTCGACGTAAAGTTAAATTCCCTTTAAATTTCAAATCCTCGAGCGCGAATTTTAAATATTTTTTTTTTTTTTTAATTTTCTTCACTATAGTATTCATGTGATGGGAGAATGTAAAAGGAAAGAAATGAAATTTAGAAAATTTTAATTGTTTGAAGACATAAGAGTTTAGTTCAGAAATGTTAGACTGCAGCAATAATATTATATGGTGAAATCATGAATGCATTTCAAAATCTCGCGCAATCTCTGCGACATTTATTCTGCAGTATGAATTAAATAAGCAAATTTGATAATATTAAACTCTTTATTCTCCTTTCGTTTATGTACATTACTATTTAGTACAAAAGAGAGTTCATACACACAAGAATTAACGAGTTTTTCTCGAACGTACCGAAGGACATGGATTTAACATCGTTTTACTGAATATTCTATGATAAAGTTCGTCACATATTTCGCTCAAATTCATCAGCCACAGTGTCATATCCATATACATATGTATATGTTCCAAAGAGGATGCAATTTCCGCTATTACGCATAAAAAGTATAAAACTTATCCACATAGTGTTTTGTACGACATGAGCATACAATTCGGTTGTAAAATGTACAACAGAATTTTACATGTTGTTAGCTAGCATTAAATATGTATGTGTATATTTATATAACACAACAATACTCTCCAATATTAAGATTTCCATAGAGAATGCCCGTTTTCATTATTAATATATACAATTGTTCCTTTAAAACATGAAATAGATGATCAGATTTTTTCTTTTTTTTTTTTTCTTTTTATTATGTTTTAGAATTAATTTTATATTTTTATCAGTTAAAGAAATACACCATATATTAATCTTTAAAACGGACATACACTGTATTCTGTTAAGACTTTTATATGCAAAAAAGTTTTAACCATAGCGCGTGCACGCTGTTTATAATATTTTACTATCGGCGTAAAAACTCACGATTGACGATTACATTTCTATTTCAACGCATTACACATTTTGCATTTTGAAACATCAAGTGCCTTTCAAAAAGTGGAGAATATTTTACGGTGATCGCATCCTATCTTCTTAGAAATACATGCACAGGTAAACATGCACACGTCTCATGTGCTCCTTTTAATACGGGTTTGTATTTTATTAGTATCATATCACTGCATGTGTATGTGCGCGAGTATGTGTGTGTGTGTGTGTGTGTAATGCAATAATATATAATTAATCATTACTTGAGCCGTGAATTATACAACCGTATTTGGTGCTTAACACGAGACGTAAATATGATTTACGGTATCCACAAGACAGTACATTCTTTTTTTTTCTTTGAAATATATAAATGAAACAAATTATAGAGAGAGATTTCGATGTTCTACAATTCTTTTGCAGCGTTAAAACGTAATATAAAAACATCCCTTTGGAATAGCAGACATGCAACTTGAGTCAAAGGCAAACACAAGCTAAAATCAGATTCACATACGAAGATGATGCTCTTGGGGCAATTTTATATATGATTTATATTTACATTGAATTTGTTGATCAATAAAAACATGTACATCATATGTATGTGTATGTGTGAAATCATCCGTTTACAGAGTATAAATAGTAACCAAGTTACCGTATCTATATCTTGCTTATTGAAATAAACTTGTATGAAAAAGACTTCCACAGGCCATATTTACTTATGTATAATAGTAAGTTTAAGAATCTATTAATTTTACAGTGCAGATGTTGTTTGGGAAAATACATAGCTGGCGATCTATTTTCTCTCCCGTATATAGCGATTCGAATTGCTCTCGAGTATTCTTCTGTTTTTCTCTGGATTACAATCTCACATTCTCTAAATATGACCTTATCGTACACTATTATATTTCCTAGTTTAAGGATCGTTGATCGAGATCTCCGAATCCGAATTTGGGAGGCACCGCAATAATGTACGGCCATATATTTTCGGACAAAGATCGTACACACACACACACACACATAGTCGAGCGCCTTCGCAAATATACGCGCGAACGTCGTGTTTAAACGTTAATATTTGTGGATATTAATAATAGCAATCACTCACACGAATCTTTACTTGCTCGATCGTTCATTCGTTCGTTCGTTCTTTCTCTCTCTCTCTCTCTCTCATATGTAAACAGATAAATAAAAATATTACGCTTATACAATTATAATGAATTATGTATGTACACACAATACATGTTGCGCTCGTCAATATATATGTATATGTATATACGTTGCTGATTCACTTACCACTCAGAAGATAGAATGTGTTTTAAGGTTTAAGAAGAGGCGCCTAACGATGAAGAAATTTCTAATGCGCTAGGATTGCCAATACGTGATCAACTCCATAGAGTCTTCCTACAAGTTTTGTTAAATGCAATTGTAAGAAAAGATAAAGATGATTCCATTAAAGATTAGTGTTGATTCCATTAACGAAATCGAACGAATGTGTAGATCAATATATTGATAGTTAAGCGCGAGATTATTTTCAATTTATTATGTAAAAAAATTTATATAATGTCATATTATTATAGTTATTTAATTGCTTTTATACTTTACTTACGTAGGTTTTGTTATCTTGGCAGAAGAAGTCTTCTTCTTGTTGTTTCGACACTTTCTTACATATGCTTCTATTAGATGCGCTATCTTTTTAGGGTTGATTTCGCCTGTTTTATTATGACATATCTGCAACATATAATTGAGATCTCTCTCGTCATCTGTGTTGTATGATTGGATCTAAATACATATTTAATTCTGTAATATTGTTTTTAATTGTCACAAGTTACAATGAATTTAATGTGTTCACACCTTAGGTACAGCTTTGCGCATGATATCTTTGTATTCTTCTTTTGTCACATGTTTTTTGGTGTAATGGGGTTTAAGAACTAATTTCACTTCCTCCACTACTCTCTCTTGTCGGTTTAGTTTCTTGAGAAACTGTAATGGTAAAAAAGCACAGGTTTCATATACTTTCGCATATTTAACACACATAAGATTTATGCAAAATTATACATTAATACCTTGTCCTTAACTTGCATTTCCACAGCAGAACTAGGTAGATCGTCCAGGATTTGGAGCTGATTTTCGTCCATACGTACGCCAACTTTGGGATTGGTAGCTGTAAAATACGCCATTTACATTGATAAAACTTGTAGCGAAAATCAAAATATTGAACTCGTAGCATTCGCTGTGGATAGAAATACATACACTTTTTCGTCTTTTCCTTGGTGACTTTTTTGCTTCTATTCTTGGTTGTAGTTTTGACGGGAGGCAATATTCCACCGAACAGTGCGTCGAAGGCGTCCTTCTTCTCCGCGCTCTTGTTAACCTTCGGCGTGGTTGTTTTAGTAGCGGCTGGTAACGGTGGTGCGTTTGCAACGGGCGAGTTATTGAAGTTGGCGGGGCTAGGAGGATCAAAGAGACCATCGCTCAGGGTCGACCCCGGTGAATACGGCGATGACATATCAACGACGTTGTCGTTCGTCATATCTATTGGCGCGTCGCTGCCGTTCTGACCTATCGTCGAACTGTTTTTACTCTGGGTAGATTTGGACGATCGTCCCATGGTGGATGACTTTGCAGAATTCGCGAATACATTAGGAAGCTGTGGCCTGTCGTTTGTACGTTGTTTCATCTGATTGCTCGGCGAGATACGATTAGACTGCAAAAGAAAAATTAGGGAAAAAGCCATCAACATAATACATTTTATTCAATTTAATTCATTGAATTAACTAAACTTTAAATAATTTTAGATTCTGTACCTGTAACAACGTTCTCTGCGTGGTATTAGTTGTGTTGGTATTGAAGCTTCTCTGCACCGCGGCCGCCACCGTTGCTAGCACAGGATTAATGGTAGCGAACGGATTGGCCGCCGATTGCACATTCGATTGTGGATTTTGCTGAGTCTTGGGAGGAGGGCTGTTGCACGATTGAGCTATATCAGTTTGATTCTCCGGCACAGGAGAAGACGCAGAGACGTCCCTCTGCGGCGATGGTCTCTTGATAGTCACCATTGATATTATCTTTGGTTTCTCAATCGGTTTCTCCTGATTGGGCTGATCCTGCTGTTGGTTCGGTTCATCCAATGGCAACGGAGTGTCCACTGTTCCGTCATGCTTTCTCGGCGAATTACGCTGCGCCCGATCGCGATCGTCGTTTGGCGTAGCTTCTTGACTCGCATCAGGTGTCGGAGATCGAGACTTGGTCGGGTCGAAAGGATCATATGCATCCGGCGAAGTTGGCGGAGACGTGGGTGGTTCAGGGGGTGTGTTGGGCCCGATCTTTAGACGTAGCTCCAGCTCCTCCTGTGCCCGCATCTCCAGCTCTTCCTCCACCCGCTCGTCTATCATCTCTTCTTCCTCTTCTTCCTCTTCTTCTTCTTCCTCTTCCTCCTCCAGCAGGGGATTTATTAAGGACGGTCTGAGATTGCTAGGTTGCTTGTTTATGGAGAACTTTATCTGCGGCTCCGGCGGCGTCTTTGGGCCCTGTGAGACAAACTGTTCGCGTGGCGGCGACGCCTGTGATGGCGGGCACTGCTCCGGTGAGGCAGCAAGCGCTTCCTGCGCTTGTTTGTCATCGTCGTCGCTCAGCACAATAACATCACGCGGTGATGGCGTTTGCTCACGGAACGGCGACTGGTCCAGATCGATGACAGCCACGGGTTTCTTCGTCGCCGCGATCTCCGCTGCTTTGGATTTCTTCTTCTTGTCCTTTTTCACTTTAGGCGACTTGGATCGTTTGTCCTTCGTTTTCTCCTTCTTCGATCGCTTCGCGGAAGGTACGGAGGACTCTGTCTGAACTGACTCTCTTCGTCGGCGTTTTATCGGTGGCACCAAAGGAATCGTTTGAGGCAATTCCGGCATATTTACCGGATTCGTCTCGTTATCCTTGTTAAAGCACACGCTTACTAGTATGTTATCACCGCTAGCGAATACTTCCTTGGATGGTGGCGGAGTTCTGTTGCGTTTGCTCTTCCGCCGCTTTTCAATCTCCTTGGACTTTCGGCTCTCTTTCCGGCGCTCTTTCTTCTTCTTCTTTATCGCTTCCTTGTTTGTCAGTATGACGGTCAAGTTCTTCGGCGATACGCTATTTAGCACGGGCGGTGGCGACCAGTTGCGCGACCCAATTTGCTCTTGTTGGATGTGCGGTGGCGTTTTAGATCTCGATCGCGACCAAGACGGTGTCCATTGCGCGCTCCATGAACGCTCGTGCTCTTCTCGCTCACGTGGAAATTGCTGTTCGTGGTCTACACTTTTCTCATTTAGCTGATCCCAATTTCTATTGCGATCCCGATCTCGCGAGATTGATCTACCCTTCGACCGGGATCGGCTGTGTATCTTCCTCTTGCTGTGTTTCTTTTCGCGCGACTTGGACGACATCCTCTTCGGCGACTTACTACGCGATCTCTTGCGATTCCTCGAGCGACTGCGTGACTTGTATTTCTTTATCTTATCCTTCCGTTTGTCGCGTGACCTCGACAACGATCGCCGGGTTCGTCGCCTAGGTGACAGCGACCGTTGTCGCTTACGCGACAGTGATCGCGATCGTCTTCGAGAAACCGAATGTCGCCTCGATAGAGATCGTCTACGCGAAACGGATCGTCTTCGCGAAGTCTTGCGTTTTGTACGGGATGATGACCTCTTGCGTGAGATTGAACGGCAAGATCTGGAATATGATCGACCGCGATCTCTCGACCAAGAGGACAATCGAAGACGAGATCTGCTCCTGGATCGTCCCTTCGAGTATGATCGACTCCGTCGATCCCTTGAGCCCGACCGAATCTTGTCCGACGAGCGGCTTCTGGATCTACTTCGCGACTTCTCCCTGATATCTCTACCGTACTCATCCTTTCTCGGTCGAGACGGTTTCTCGGCCACGATCTTCCTCACGTCGTATCGTGGAAGCTCCTTTCTCTTCTCCTTCTTCTTACCCACCTCCTTCGTTTTTTTCTTGGAAGACTTATCCTTATCTTTATCCTTCTCTTTCTCCTTCGACTTGGATCGTTTGTCCTTGTCGCGGTACGGTCTTTCCTTCGTGCTCTTCGAGAGCTTTTTCCACGAGACCAGATTATCCGACGAAATGTTTTCTTTGTTCTTTTCCGTACTTTCTTTGCTCTTTTCCTTCTTATCCTTCTTCTTCTTTCTCTTGCTGTCCTCTTCTTCTTTCTCTTCCTTGGATTTTTCGCGTTCCTTCGCGTTCAGTTTGCTCTCATCCGGTATTTCACCGTCCTCCATCTCCTTTTCTTTGCGTAACGCCAAGGCGTTTAATTCCTCTTCGAAATTTATCGCCTCATCGGTTTCGGAAATGGCCTCAGTGCCTAATTCCGCGTAACCCGCTGGCGGTGTCCTACAATCGTCGAGGTCGTCATTCGTCTTATCCTTCGTTGGGGTGATCGGCTCCAAACCGACCTCGAACGACGCCGCACGTCGCTCCGATGCATGCGCACCCTCATCCCTCACAGGTAACTCGTCTTTGCAAGGGGTATAAGCGCCATCCGAGTCCCAGTTGCTGTCGGCCGGCGCAGCCGGCTCGTCCTCCAACTTGTCCTTTTCTATCGGGAATTGCTCGATCTCGTCGTCCACCACCATCTCCGTCGAGAAGCTCGCCTTCTCCTGCCGCTGATCCGACGAATTCGGATCTTCATTAGGATCACTCGACGCTTTGTCATCATCATCCTTATCGTCGCAATCCATTTTAGCGAGTTTGTCACTACGGCTGCTCGGCGAACGATCATAATCTTCGCTACTTGACTCCCGCTCCTGCGAGTCGTCATCGCACGCGCTCGCTTCGCTTCGTAATACATCGCTCGAATGGCTCAATGCGGCTTTGCTCGTTGTTGCATTATCGCCTTCCAAATCCTGCGAGTTGCATTCTATATTCAGTTCGCCGTCATCCAACTTTCTTGGGGATAACCGAAAAGCGGACGACACTGTACTCTCTGCGACTGCAATGTTTTCATCTGCCGTCGCTGCTACTCGCGGTGACGTTTCCCGTTCGCTGTCTTCCTCTTCTTTCCTGCTGGGCGACGCGACATCGATACGTCTCGATTTCGTTTCGTCCGTCTTTGCAGCTTCCTCGTCAGATGAACTCTCCGAACCGAGCTCTTCGCTCTCGTGTTGACTAGGAAATTGGAGTGGTTTCTTCTTTTTAAGCGAGCTTGGCGTAGCGATTTCCGTCGAAATATTCTTTTCGTCCTCCTCTGCAAGTCGTGGTCCTATCAATTGGTTTATCGCTATCGACGATCTTATTGCCGTGGATTCCATTGTTGACTTGGATGGACTGACATTCTTGTCACCATCTCGTTCTTGCTGCTGCTGGTCGTCGATCGGCGGCACCACTGCCGCTGCTTTTTTCTGATGAAAACTCGCGTTCTGCGAGTTTACATTGTGATCGTCGGAGTGCAGCCCACTCAGCCGATTGTTTAGTCTCAATTTGTAGCCGATTTTGAAGGTAATCTTGCCACGGTGCGAATCGTGCGAAATTTTTTTCGGTGGTATCTTACTCAGAGTTTGTCGCTCTTTCTGGAGCGCCTCGAGATAAGGATCGGCAGGTTCTGGAGGCACGTCCGGTAGATCGCACGCTTGGATATCCCCCACGATTATATCATCATCGTCGGGGATATTAGGCGGTAACGGCGGCGGTTGAAGCGGTCCGAGCTGCTGCGATAGTTCCTGTTCCGTGTGTCTGGCCACATCCATAGTCTGCGACGAGTAAATGGAAAAATTCGGACAGTCTGACTGAGAGTCATTGTCGTCATCGTCATCGTACGCGGTGAGCCGAATGGGTTCCTGTGGCAGTTCTCTACTTTCAGCAGTCGTCGTAACGGCAACTGTTGGCATCGAAGGATAACTCGTGGTGGAACTCAATAATGACGCAACCGGCATCGGTATGTTACAACTATCCAGGTTGTTTCGCGATACTTGTACTTTCTCGAGCACCATCTTCTCATCTATCGAAGCAGCAGCAGCAGCATCGTCGTTGCTATCACTGTCGGCGGCGAATGGATCATACTTGTCACCGCTTGTCGGCAGATCTTTCGGCGTGTCTTCCTTATGACTGTCATCGATCACCAACTCCTGCTCGCTATCGTTGTCTTTGTCGCTTCTGGAGTTTTCCTCAAAATCTAACAAGCCGGACGGCGGTTCCGGTGGTGGCAACAGAATCATCGAACCGTTGCTATGAAGTTCCTCCTGTACCTCACAATCAGGCTTGGACGGCGGCTCGATATCGCAGTAAATGTCGCAGTCGTCGTTGTCCTGGCGCGTAGTAGTTGGCGCGGCTACAGGTTCCGGCACTACAATGCGATCATTCTGCTCGGGGGAGGACCGATAGTTTCGCGTCGTGTCCTCAGATAGATTGACCGAAGATAGGTTATTGTGCGTCGGCGGTTGCACGTTCAGGGGATCTGGCGGCGCGTTTGGCGGTGCGATGGGTAAACCACCGGCAGGCGGTATGCTCAATGAAGGCGGCCTGGGCCTGGGAAATCGATCCGTTGCGTGCGGAAACGGCGGTCTGGATTCAAAACCGCTGCTACCACCGTCCGTATAATTAAACGGTCGCTCAATGGGCGGAGGTGGCGGCGGCGGAAAACGCAACCGCTCGTTTCGGAAATGCTGCGGATTACGGCTGCGGAACGGCGGCGGCGGCGCGTGGGCACCAAACATGGGTGGTCCGCCGCAGTGCTCGAAATTGAGATTGTAGAACGGCGGCGGACCAAAGTCGCGGTTCCCGAAGTTGTCCCGCGGGCCGCCACTGCCGGTTCCGCCGCTGTAGCTGTGTCTACCGCCTGGCGGTAGCGAATCGCGACCGCTGCCGTAGCTTTGCCCTCCGTGGCCTCCGTGTCGGCCACTGTTGTCGCGGCCATAGCCACCCCGGAAGTTGCCCCGATTGCCGCCACCACCACCGCCACTGCCGCCGCAGGGATTATTGTACATTGGCGCCTGTGTTATATCACTGGGATTGACATTAGATAGATCCAGCGGTGTGTCTACCACCTTCAAATGATTCGCCTCTTTGCGCCGCGTAACCTTTTCTTCATCGTGCTTCTCCTTCTTCGGACTTTCATTGTTATTGATGCTGTGTTTATTCTCCTTATCAGGATTATTCACCACCAGTGTACCATCGGCCTTCAGGATCACATCGTCCTTCTTCTTGGTCGAATGCCACAACTCTTGATTGTTCATTATGCTACTCAACAGATCCATCGCGCTCGCATTCTCTATTTCATCGATCGGATTGGCGATAGTTTTTAAAATAGTGCGACGTCTGATCGATGGTACTGCCGATCGTCGCTGTCGTACATTTATCAGTGGACCGTTTCCAATGGAATATTCATTGTCGTCGTCCGACCTAATTGAACAGACATTAGTTGAAATTCACCGAGATATTCAACTGAAAGATTACTTTATTTATTTGTATATATGCAATGTTTTTTTCTAAAATATAATTTGTGAACAATAGAAAGAATTCAACATTACATAGCATATTTTCATATAAATACATTTTGCATATAATCAAAAAATAGCTTGCGCACTATGCAAGATATAATATTATTAAAATCAAATGTAAATGGTTGTTGCAACACTTTCTATAATATAAGTACATAGAATAGAATCAATCGCTTACCCAGGTGGACTGTAATCTATTCCCAGATTATTCCCAAAAAGACTGACTTGGGGTATACCGGCGCTATATCTGGCGTTTATGAGAGCGCTTTTCTCAGGAATAGAAATATTATTTTTCATGGTAGGTACAAACTGCGGCACTTTTGGCTTCTGTATACCAAGTGTGGAGGCCAATCTTCTTTTTACTGTATGTTTACTAGCCAGCATAGATGCTACAGTACGCACTCGTCGTTTGTGTTTTCTCCTCTGGTAAAATAATATAGTAATCTTATGTTCTTTTACAAAGATCATATGAAATATGACAGGCAACATTTCTATTTAATATAAAATTGTGTATAAAAAGCGTCAAGCAACAAGAAAAAAAAGAAACATAGCATTCTCTTCAGCAATCTTTGATTTGATGAGAAGTTATTATAGGATAAATTAATAAGTTAGTAAAAAAAAGTAAGCAATTAATAGATTTTATTATACTATATCATATATATTTGTATTATAATTTTCAGAAAGGGTATATAAGCTTCTATGTGTAAGTTATTTATTTTGAAAGCAAGAGAATGAAAAGTTTTATAGTTTTACTGAAATAGATATATCGAATAATTTTGTAAATTCATTGTTCTTCAAATTTTTTTATTTAATTATTATTTTTATTACCCTCGACATAAATAATTGCATTTTTCTTCAAGATAGTGCTTCTCTCTTGTATATGATTCAATCAGTTAGCGTGTATAAATATATATTTCAAGACTTTTTATAACACAGTATACTCTTATTTATTTATATAATTAATGTATTTATAATATATTTTATTCTTGGGATTTTATAGTATATTAAAATATATCATATAAGTAAATAAACCACACTGATATTATAAAATAAAAAATAACTCGCATAATTTTAATCTTAAAATACAATTGTGTGACACTCTACTGAAGTTTTTTAAGATTTTGGCATATCAATATGATAAAGTTATTTAAGCAAAATTAAGAAAAAAAACCAAGTGCATCTAGTGGGAAAATCGTTTTATTTATATAAATTAAGAACAATGAGTTACAATCGAAAAATCTAATTCAATTGAGTCATGTTACGAAGGTGGCATAAAGTATGGTCAGGAAATACAGTAATAATCGGATAGTGTGGGTCGGAAGTCCAAGATGATGAACATTTAATAATGAGACATGATAGAGTTGCCAGATGACATATATTCCAATCTGAAGAAAGATCTATACATGTCATATAATGTAACAGAAAAATATAAGTTGCATAAGAACGCATTTATTAATTGCATTGTTATGATTAGAATTAGATAAAATAATAGCTATAGTATAGTTTGGAAAAATTTTAAATTATATATGTATCTGGCAATCCCCACTCGAGCATGAATGTTATGTGTTAAGCTATAATTCTACATTTGAGGAGAAATTAGCGATATACCTTGCGCGTTTTCTTTGTTCTTTTCTTACACTTCCTCCTCGATGTGGATGATGCGACTTTGACATATGTTACTATCTCCTCCTCTTCGCCATCATCGTTCAATTCTGTGATTCGCACCTCTCGAACTACATTACTGCTGTTTCTCTTGGAGTTTTGCATGACCTTCCTTTTTTTTCTTTTCGTTGTTTTAGTCTTGGATTTTTTGTTCGAGCGTGTAGACGAAGAAGCATTACCCTCTAAACTAGTGTTTGGAGAACGACTTCGACTATTGTCACCAATCGAATCGAGGCCAGACGAAGTAGATGGCATATTCGGATCGATAAGTTGCTCGGGAATGTCTGCTGGAGTGTGATCGTGCACTTCGCGGGCGCGATTGCGAAGGTATCTACCAGGTACGTACGTACGATCATTATCAACATCGCGAATATGAGGAAATATTCTACGAAATATGCCTAAGCCACTATCGTTTCCGAATTGAAGAATACGCCGACCGGGACGTCGTGACATCATAAGAGTTGGCAAAAAGTGTGTTACAAACTGCAAACATAAATAAGAAAGGGATTTAATATGCTTTTGTTGATTATACACTTAATTTTTAAAATAAGTTCTTTTATGTATCATTCATCAGAGCATTACATCGCAATCTATAAATTATTTTTGCTTTGTAGAATGTATAAATTATATAATATAGTAATATCTATAGATAGAAAAAATTAAAAATTTTGTAGATTAAATTTAATAGATAAATTTTATAGATATTCTTCAAGTATGAATAGAAAAGTTCTCTCTTACCACTCTATCATTTGTTCGATTCGTACAATCTGGGCAAAACCATTCCTCTATAGGAACTGCAGTCATTGGAGGTGTTAAACATTCCAAATGGTAGCCACGATCACAACTGTCACAAAGTAACATTCGATCTTCCCTGTCACTTTGATGACACACTTCACAAAATGTTGGATCATCTGGTGCTTGATTTTCAATACGTGGTACGATTTCTATTGGTACATGTTTTATGATCTGGAATAAATAGATAGGAGAAATGTATATTACAATTGCAATGAACCAATTTGCTAGAACTTATTTATTCTATCTTTTTACCGACAAAAAAATCTGTACAGTTTTTCACATTACTCATATTAATATTTTTGAATTTTGCAGTACTGGATAACAAACTTTTCATAATTGAAAATATATATATATATATACATATATATTTCTATATAAATAATAGTGAGCGTATTACCTTGCCTCCGAGATTATCTCTAACATGGATGACGGTGAAAGATTGACGATCCACAGGACAAGTGTTAATATTTTTACTCCATTCCAATAAACAATCTAAACAAAAGCAGTGGTCACAAGCAGATGGTGTACCAACTTGCTGTTTTCTAAATGGCAGTAGGCATATAGGACATTTCTCCGAATGTTCATCATTGCTATCAGAGTGGACATCGGCATTGGATGATGAGGAAGGACCAGGTTTACCAGCTTCCTCCCTCTTTATTTTAGATAAAACTTTATGCTTAGCATTGTGTTTCTTACAGTCTTCGTTCAATTCATCAGAGCTATTCCAATCGCTTTGCCATTCGGATGTGCTACTACTATCTGTAACATACATAATATAGGATGTTTTGTAGTAAATAGTTTGTAGATAATATTAGATTTATAGTGGTAATATAGTGAACTTAATATCAATTTTAAGATCAATAACATACTAACCACTCTGAGTGGATTTGCTTGCCTCTGATGCGCTACTATCATAATTAGATTCATCCTCACTAATAACTCTCTGCAATAGGAAAATTTCAATAAAAACACATGTGATTATTATAATAAATTTAATTAAATATTTGTGTAAAAATATAATAGAATAATAATACTTACATGGTTTTGTCGTCTAATCACAGGTTTAGGTACATCACTATCGTCACTGCTACTTTCCTCTGATGACTCTTTAATGACTCTCTGGAATAATAATATAATAATTATTTCAAAAAATTGTAGAAACTTATTGTTTTATATGTAAATTTTACATGTTAATATATCTATTAGTATCATAATTTTTTGTTACAATATATTTATTATTTACATTAAATAAAAAAAAAGTAGGCAAATAAAAGTTCTTGTTATTCTATTAAGCAAAATTTAAATTTAGAAGGAATTTCAAAATAAAATGATTTCAATATATCAATAATAAAGACTTTTATACATACATATATCTTCTTTTTCCTCCGAGTTATATCAATAAAAGAGTCATCGCTGCTATCACTGTCACTTATGACAATTTTCTTGCGTTTGTGAGTATGACGACGTACCAGACAAGTATAATCACTGTCACTTGACATCTTAACTTTTCCTAAAATTCATACCCACTGCATTTCTGCTATAAATCTGCAAAGCAAAATTTAAATTTAGAAGGAATTTCAAAATAAAATGATTTCAATATATCAATAATAAAGACTTTTATACATACATATATCTTCTTTTTCCTCCGAGTTATATCAATAAAAGAGTCATCGCTGCTATCACTGTCACTTATGACAATTTTCTTGCGTTTGTGAGTATGACGACGTACCAGACAAGTATAATCACTGTCACTTGACATCTTAACTTTTCCTAAAATTCATACCCACTGCATTTCTGCTATAAATCTGCAAACAGAAATTTCGTAATATAAATATAATATATAAAATCTCAATTTACATATCTATTACTTTTCTTAATCTACATAAAGTTATTATTATATAGCCATAGTTTACATTATTTATTTTTATCAGCTTCAAATTACAAACAATTGTTATGCCCTTATTTCTCAATTATTAGGACAAAAGATAAATTTTCTGAGACGACACGTTGGTCCAAGCAGGATTGAAGAATCCACACGGAAATTATTCTCTAGTCCTTCATTTACTTCGCTCGCGGCACGAATCTCTAATATCTGCGAAATAATCGAATGATGAATTACTTGCTACTGCGCGCTGCGGTCCGTTCGTCTCGTGCACAAATCGCTTGGCGATTCCGCGCCGCTCTCACCGATTGTCGACGATAATTCGCGCGATTTCGCGAGACGATTCGTCTAATCCGATGGGATCGTTCGTATTTTACGCGACACAATAAGCTAGCAAACGACACGGTACAGAATCTTGACGCTTGTCGATTCCCGTTCTGCCTTTCCCTTCTTCACGGTTCGTTCCCGAGAAAAGTCGCACACTCGTGGACCGCGCACACCGGTGGCACGCGGACGCTCGGCGTCAATCTCCCGATTTTCTCGAGCGAACAAACGGCTCGAGCTGTTCGCGTTTAGGAAGCTGCCCCGCGATGTCTTGCCTTGACAGCACCCCCGAAAAGGTACGCGTTCTATCGCGAGACTGCGGACATCTTGAATCGCGGACGCCGTGGTGTGCGCTGTGTGTGTATAGGCGACGTTGCGTCACTTCCTGTTTCGCGACGATCGCACAGCGAAATTTACTGCTCGCGTTGGCAGAATTTCGATTTTACGATTGGTTATGTCGGCGCAATTCGATAGCCGATGATAGCCGATGGGTAGGACGCGACGAGACCGAGGAACTATTCGGCAAATGTCGCACGTAGTAGTATCGGCCGGAAGCGAGCGTGCCGTTGATTTGACAAGACGCAAATTCGATTGCTCGCGCAATTTCGACGGATGCGTAAAGATTCTCTGGGAAACGCGTCTTTATTCGCGCCCGAATCCTTTCTCTCACGATCTCTTACCGGGTGTTCTAAATATCTCGAAGCAGCGAAACAAACGCGAAGGAGGAGAATGAAGACCGTAATCGGTCCTCCTATTTTCCCGCGCGAATGTTTTATCATCTTCGTGAGCAGATGTTCGGAGGATCTATTCGAATAGATTTGTATATAGCTTCCTAAAATATAAATATCAACACATTGTATAATAATATATATTCCTTATATCCATCAAGATGCGATACCTGATAAGAGAATATAAATATTGGATTACGTTCAAAGATCTATTCATCGGAGTAGCATTTGATTGATTAGGATAAAAAAATTTCTGTCTTGACTGGTTTATAAAATGCTACTTTATTCAACTAGTAGATTTTTCAATGCAATCCTAGAATTTTTTTTCATACCGAGTTTTTCAGCAAGAAAAGATGATGTCACGCAATTGGTTATCAAATAGAGAATTTTTTAAGTTTAAAAAATTTTTTTTATTTTATAGCCAATCGTGTGACATTGTATTTATGTGTATTTCTTACTGAAAAGCTTCTAAAAATAAATATTTTTCTCTATGAAACAACGTCCGCTATTGGATATCTGTGTCAGTTATTTTGCGGACTGTGATTGGTTGATCTTCTCGCATATATTTCGTGTATATGACTATGCCAACTACATAAATACATCGTATATGGATTAGCCTTTAGTCGCGGAGGGCGTTACTGTCTCTTGCCGTTTCCTTTTCGTTTTCTATTCTAGCGGACATCGTTGCCGTTTGAGAAAATCCGCCAAGATGGGTCGTATGCACTCACATGGGTAACGATATGTTTATTTCGTCGCTAAAATTGTTTATTCGCGACATTGTTCTTTCGAATTTTGTTGCGATGCGAAAATTTTGACGACACCATCGCGCCGAAACGAAGTACACGTTTCGGCGACCATGTGTTTGTAACTTTATTTTCCACCTTTCGCGCATAAGTAAATCTTTATTCTTCGATTTATCAGCTCCGTTACATATAATCGTCAAATATATTAGTAATCTCAATTTTTCGAGGCAATGTAGCTCCTATAAATTAAGTATGCCAGTTTTTAGAGTACGTAAGCTTTCATACGTATGTGTGTGTGTAACACAGTTTCAATGTATAATCTCAATTTTTCGAGGCAATGTAGCTCCTATAAATTAAGTATGCCAGTTTTTAGAGTACGTAAGCTTTCATACATATGTGTGTGTGTGTAACACAGTTTCAATGTGTGTATATATATGATACCATATTATGGCGTCAATTTATCCGACAGCATAAGGCTTGAAAAATTGCATTTTTTTTTATAAATATAAGTACACACATATTGATTTTAGATTAAATTAAATTAATGCATTATGTTGTATATATACACACGCACACACTTGTGTATAAATTATATTTTATTATAAATATCATGAGAGAGAGAGAGAGAAGGCAAATGTAATAAACATTCTCGATCTCTTTGTTCAATTTTATTAAAACAGATTCATGAGAGGAATCTCATCTCTAATATTTTTTATGTATTAATATTACAGATATCCATAAAAAAATACTATTATAACACAACTATATTAAAAATATCTATATGCTAAATTAAATTAAAGCTAATACATTTATTATTTTTTTTTTTTAGAAAGGGTATATCCCAGTCGGCGCTTCCTTACCGCCGAAGTGTGCCAACCTGGTTGAAGTTGACACCAGAAGACTGCAAGGAACTTATTTATAAACTAGCAAAGAAAGGACACACGCCGTCTCAAATTGGTAATATTAATAACATATTTATATTATTTAATAATATATACGTGTCTTATTAATTTAACGAGGTTAATACATGTGAAAGCAAACTGTTCAAGGGATCTTGAATTGGATCTCTTTAGAAAGACAAGTTGCAGGAATATAATTTAGTGGTGTTTGATGTGAATATGATAACTTGTCATTTCATGATAGGTAACCACTAGACACTTATATATTATTGAAATGAAATTATTATGAAATTAAATCATTAAAATAAAAAAAATTTGTATTGCATATTTATAGGTGTCATACTTCGTGACTCGCACGGTGTGGCCCAAGTGCGCTTCCGTACAGGAAACAAGATCCTGCGCATTGTGAAAAGCATTGGCTTGGCCCCAGATCTGCCGGAAGATTTATATTATCTGATCAAAAAGGCAGTCGCTGTTCGTAAACACTTGGAGCGTAATCGTAAAGATAAGGACAGTAAATTCCGTTTGATTCTTGTCGAATCGAGAATTCACAGGCTAGCACGTTACTACAAAGCAAAAGGATCTTTGCCGCCGAATTGGAAATACGAAAGTTCGACGGCCAGTGCTCTCGTAGCCTAATCTTTATTGTATTTACTATATGCTTAAATAAATCTTTGGAAACACTGACCTGCTTTCCTATAATTCGTAAGTGTTGATATTATATTTATATATAAGATTATGACACAAGAAATATAAAATAAAGTTGATACAGTATTAATTAAAATACAAAAAAAAATTTCCGATTGCTTTTAGAAGCATGGTCGATTACATAAAGCGCCAAATTTTAACAAATTGCCAATTTGTTTTATACAATGCCTGCTTTAATTAAGCAGGAGTTGTATAAAAAATATATTTGTGTTAAATCATGACACAATCATTAATTTCTTTGTCAATTGAAAATAGCGCATATAATGATAAATGTACAATTAATATATTTTAATGCATATTTTTCTAACAATGAGAGAAAAAATTTGTGAAAAAATATCAAAATTTTTTATCTATATTATTGGAGCAACATTGCGAAGAAATTCTTGAGTATTTCATATTTAAGAAAGACAATATATGGTATTCTTCGCGCTATCGATTTTTGTACCAAATGAGAGAAGATAAATTATAACGAAATGGAATATATATTTTATTAACAAGGTCGATTGCAATGTTATCACCTTGCTAAAAATAGGCAAACTAAAAAAATTAAGATTTTTTTTATATTATCTTATTTCTTAAAGTTCAAAATCAGATCTTGGCTTTGTATTTATTAAATTAATTTATATACAATATATATGCATTAATTTTTATACTTTCTCGCGCGCGAAGGATAATTAAAGCAAATTAATTCTCTTCTTAATTATGCTACATATATACACAAGCAAATTTCGAATTCTTTTATCTTAATTTATTGATTTTTAAAGCTTACAACAGCGACAAATCTCTAATTAATATTTATTTGATGCGGCTATCATCGGATCTATTTTTATCGAAACAATAAAAATAGATGCATTTTTTAATTGATGAAATAGACACGGACATATATTCCCGCATTCCTGAGCTGCCGGACAAAGAGAGCGAGAGTGATTCTTCAGATTCGTCTTGATGACCTTACGTTTTTCGCGAGTCCAGCTTCGAGTAAAAATTAAATTTATCAGTTGCCATCGTATGCACCCTCATGTGGTACCACAAATTCGCAGCACGGTCCAAGATAGAGAAAGAGAGAGAGGAAGTGGACATGGCGAAGAAGTGATAGTGTGGCCGCAGGAACCAATATTGGGAATTCCTTCGTGGAATATAAATCCGCTGTCCATGTCATGTACATAAAATGCGTAATGTAATTGGTTTATCATTAGAATATAATTTTTGCAAAAATTTTCAAAGATTTTTTTAGATAAAAGTTTATTATAATTATATAATTATTATTTCTTTATTTTTTACTTATTTATTAAGATTATTTTGCTATAATTTTTAGATATATATTTATGGATTAAGCGTTTCTCGAACGTTGCTCTTTGTTAATTTTTCGCGCCTGTTAATAAGTTTTAATTATTTACAATTATTTATGTATTTCGAACACTTATACATATCGTTTTCTTGCAGCTTTACTCTCCACGCGTATCCATTCCCTTCCTCATCGCTAAATCGCTTGCCGCCTCCGGCCCTGCCGGGAGTTTGCTAAGGATGGAGGCGGCGGGAAAAAGACAGAGATAAGGAGAGGCGAGGTCCGGACAGAAGACATCGAGGGACAGTTCAGTGGCCCCTCCTCCTCTTCCCTTCTTCGCGCCGCGCCTTATAGCAAAGGCCACCAGCTCCTTGTCCTATTTTTGACGTCATCAGCGGTGAAGGTAGACAGCAGGGGGTGGCACGCGCGCATGCGCTCGCGCGCGCAGTTCACGGAGATGGTGAACGTCCTGCCTGACTCTCACTCGCGACGGTGCGAGGTCTGCTGCGGCGGTCCACCACGGTGGCGGCGGAGCAGTGAACAGCGATACGTCGCGTGAAAAGAAGGTTCTCGGATACGGCCGAATAAAGGCGCGCACCGCGTTTAATTGCGATCGCGCGAACAGTCAGCGGGTGCGCGTAGCCGCCGTCGCCGCAAGGATCATCCGGAGCTGTCGTTTGCCATTGCCGATGATAGTGTCCGCCGAGTGTCGTCGAGTATTTCAGACAACGAATTGCCACACACAGCCGCGTCAACGCGACTTTCCCCGATTATGGATAGGAGAGAGCGCAGTGACGAGCAACGCGAGTGCCTATATCGAGTTTATTTGTGAACCATATTGAAGACAACGAAAGAAGAGACAATCGCGGTTCCGTGCCGTGTTCACCAAGTGCTGTCACTCTAGAGGTATGTAGAAGAATCCACGGAATCGCGCGCTATTCGGGAAACGTGCGCAACATATGGGGATTGACAACAGAGAGAAAGGGAGTTCTGACGGGGACGCGGCGACCTCGCTGCAGCGCGGGGGTGGTATTCCTCCAGCGGAATGTGATCGCGATTTTGGCGTAGATATAAAACATAATAAATATAGAAATATATTTAGCAGATATTGGAGATATAAGATATATGTATATAAGTAAAAATACAAATATGTATAAATAATATATACCGCGCGATGAAATGTGGATAAAACTTCGATGACAGTGGACATCATCGAACTCACTGCAAGCGAGCGCGGCATTTACTTATGTGCAATACATTCTTGCTAAAAGACGCGAAGAAGGAGAACGATTAGGAGGCGAGCGAGCGAGCGACGTGAAAGTGAGTTTTGTTCGCGCACTGCTTGAACGGTGATACTGTTCGCGAAGTCATCTACGAACCAGTCGCAAACAGGGTCTTCTTCGGCTTGTATCAATTATAGCTGCTCGCACGCTCGCAGACTGCAACAATGCATTGCACTTTTCTTTCTCTTTTTTTTTTCTTTTTTCTTTTTTCTTATATGTATGAAGGTTTGACTTAACGCTGTGTTTGCGAAAATACCGGAGGTCTCTGTCTCTCTCTCTCTCTTTCTCTCTCTCGCAATTCGTTACGAGCTCCGAGCTTGTCGGTCGGGAAAGCGGCCTCGCTGACTTTTCGCGAGCGTGAGCCGCGAAATTTCTGCCGTTGGTATCGTTTTCGTGCGAGAGCGTAGCGTTTCGCGGGCCGCGACCGCGATGCGATGTCGTAACATTTTCCCCCTCACCGCGTTCTTGTGCTCGCCTTTTCTCTTTCGGTAATCGTGCTGCATGAGACGACGCTCGAGAGAGAGCCCTGGGCGACGAGCGTTATTGGTCCTAAATTCTAATACACACATTACGAGACATAAAGTTGCTTAATATTCTAGATCTAATAGCTTGTAGAATGTAGGCCCGTAAACATTAGCTAAAATTAACGACTGTAATTAATGTCCTAATATCTAATCTCGTCATTATAGAAATGAAAAGCAGAAACAATTAAATATATGTTTTAATGTTTTCGAGAGGCGAAAGATCCGGTCCTGGGGGAATCCCGCAGCGAGCGGGATCGCGAAAACGGGTATCGGCAGGGAAGGAAACCGGTATAATTTTGCTGAGGTCACGCATTTGGATGGACCAATAATTATATCTCGTGTTTCCCCACAAGCGAGCAAAACGCGAAAAAATTAGCTTCAAATTTTTATTTTTATTTTTTTTTGCGCAGTTACACCACGCAGAAATTAAAAGTGGATCGAAAGTACACATATAACCCACCGAAATTAATCTCGTCGACTTTATACCGGTTTCGAGTTTCGCGTCGCGCCACGTCGATGATTGCGAGATTGACTTTCGCGCAAGCTGCGCTCGCTCGCTTCCGCGGCACAACGGATTCCTTGCTTTCTATCGAACGCCAAGAAACACACCAGCTCTAAACGCGCTAGAACCCGCCTTCACGCTCGACGTATCCCTCGGTCGCTGGATGTTTACCCTGTCGGCGGCACCACGGACCATGTCTACAATTTCTTTTCTCGTTCGGCCCCGGCTATATAGGCCAAGGAAACAAGGCGGTGAACGCGCGTTTGGAGCGACCGCTCGTTTTTATTGGATCGTCGAATTCACATTTGTTGGCGTCAATAATGAAGGGTTGATTTAACAGAATTTGCGACTGAAAGCACCGAACCGCTCGGAGACCCGATTAACGACGTTATGATCCTCGAAAGTTCCAATTCGCGTATAAAAATATATTTTCAGTCAAAAATATTATAATTTTAATTTAATCGAATCTATATTAAAGCAGAGAATTTTTCTTCTTTCTATATAATATTATTAGAAATGCTCAGATATATTTCCCATGCATTTGTAGATACATATCAGAAAGAAGATTGGACGAAAGGATTATGTGTGTATGTTTCGTATGAAGCACTGATAATCGAGACACCGAGGATTTAAGAAATTCATGACCGACCATGCCGAATATTAGAAACTGTTCGTGTCATCGTTCATCAATGGACTATTAAAACATCAAGAGAATCTCATTGTACGAATGAATGGTTCATGGGTTTTCCCCACAGGAGTCTCGCAAGAAAGTATAGTCACGGATGGTCGGACGCTGCTTTTCACTGTACGATGACGAAAAGAAGAAACGAATCTCCTTGATCGGCAATTTCGATAAGTTTATTGCTACGCAAATTAAACGACGATATCGGCGGATCCTATCGACGTAAGTTTCGCAGATTTATGGCGCGCGATAATCGTAAAGAGGAATAATCGTCACGTTTTAGCGGTATGCGGATCCTGATAATTGCGATTTACTGTCCTCGCATTCTCGCTTAATTCTCGCTTTCGCTTAATTGTAGTTTTGTTGTGTTTTAAATGCGTAAGAGAGTATTTCGCGATGGCCCCGCCACGGGGTTATCTCCGCAAAGGGTGTGTGCGTAAATGCTTGACCGCTGCGCCGCGCGGTCGAGTATAACCAGTTCCCTTCCACTGCTTGAAATCTCGCTGTTGCACTCATCGAAGTCACTTGGCGAGTTGACTGAGACTTTGCGAAAGAGTAAGGAGGGAGAGAGAAAGAGAAAGGAGCGCGAAAACGATACGGGCATGAGCGAGAGAGAGAAAGAGAGAATGAGCGAATGTGTGAACGAGTAGGTAGTGCGTGGTAGAATGGCGAATGAAAGATAGAAGAAGAGGCGGACGGGCGGGTGTAAGAAGAAATGTGAACAGGAATTATCGAAGAAAATAACAGGGTGGATAGGTGCATTAGTGACAAAGACTTTATTTCTTTTTGTTTGGAATTGAAGAAGTGATTATAGAAAAGATGACATGTTTGGCAAAGCGCGAAAGAAACGATTAAGGAAACTAGCCTTTAACCAGATGTTAAATAGCGGGGACAGAGAAAGCGTGTCGCCCATGGGTGACAGAAAATGAGTAGATACATGAAGACCAAAGTTACAAATGAGGAAGCGAATAGAAAAATGAAAAAGAAATATACGATATATACTTGATAAAATAGTAGAAGATGCGTAATAAAGATAAAGAGATATATCTATGATAGCACTGAAAAATGAAAGAAATCATAATAAAAAGCAAAGATATGGAAATTTATAAAGAGAATAAATCCGCAACAAAGATGAAGAGATGCATGAAGACTGTAGTTAAAAAATTAAGGAAACTGAAAAGAAGCAAGAGAATCGATAAGATTGATAGAGGTAAAAAATCTCTTAAAAGAAGACATACTCATGATATCGTCTGCAACAAAGACAGAGAGGCATGTGAAGACAGAAGTTGAAAAGTAAAGAGAATCGCGAAGAAACAAAAGAGAGAGAGAGAGAGAGACACAGTAAAATATTCGTCGAGAAAAGAGGAGAGAGGCAAAAAAGAGAGAAAGAGCGTGCGAATGTTATGTGTGTCTGTGTGTGTTCGCGAGTACAAACACTAGACCGAACGAGAGAGTGAGCTACACCGCCGATCTCTCGTATAAAAGGTGGGGGTCTTTCTCGGTGTATATTCCAGCCAGGCCATGCTAGACGCCGTCGCTGGTCGTATACAACAGCCTTCGCATTCTTCGGAGAAGTGAAAGCAGTTTCAGGGAAATTCTGGTGGCGGCCGGGCGTTCGTTCGCCACAGGCAAGAATCGGTCGTGTGACGTTTCTTTCGCCTGCGCCGCATAGCAGTTATCGCGACACAGTGTGACCTGGAGACCCGATCTCGGGAGGGTTCCTTTTTTTTTTTTTCTTTTCATCGGTACACACGATCGGATGAAATCACATTATGAAATCTTGTCCTAAGGAGACGTATGCGTACGTGTGTGCATAAGCGCGAAACAGATGGCGAGCTCGGACGCAACTCTGTGCTCCGCGGTGAGATAATGGACAAGCGTCATGAGGCACCTACTACGTGGAGAACGTTGCGAAATCATCGTCGAAGGAGAATAGAAAAGCGCTACTCGTGAGTCAGAGATTTCGTGGGTTCTATTCTCTCTCCGGGAATATATCTCCAATTCTTTCTCCGAATATGTAAGAGAGAACATCTTGCTCTCTTTTGTAAATGAGAGTGGGAGTTTCGCCGTCACCGTCGCCGCTAAGAACGTTCGGTTGTTACGTAATTGTTGCATCATTACGCCAATTATTTCTTCTTATCTTCGATATTGCTGCAAGAAACATCTACCTTCTAGAATTCTTGTACTCTCTCGCGGAGAATGATTATCCGAGTGACCGATAATTAAAATCCATTCGTTTAGAATATAGTATGAGATGGACAATCTGAATAACTTTCTCTAAATTTGAAGTCGTGAGAAAACATTATGGAAATAATTTGTATAATTTTAAGGGGATAAATTTTGATAGACATTTTATATGTATTCGTTAGAAGTCTTGCTAGACAGCGTCAATATTTGGAAAATATATCTTTTTACAATTTTTACATTATTGTTAAAACTCTTATGTCGACTAGCTTATTAGCAAAGCCGAATTAATTAGTCTGATTCTTAAAATCAGAATCATCAGAGAGCAATTAGAGTTCTTGTACCGTTAATGCAATTTAGACAACTGGTTAGCTTTCCGACTAACACTTCTTCTCTCCAGCGACATTCGCTACTTTTTATCTCACTGCGGGTTGAGTGATCGCGTTGATATTCTTTTTCTTCTACCGGTTTTTTATCATACGTCTTTTCCCGATGAGACATCGACCGATCGTCGCCTTGGTACGTGAAATTCCACAGGTTTGTGAGCCAGGTGATCGGAATTCGATCTCGCGACATCACGACGGCGATGGCGCTTTCGGGGATTTAACACGGAGACATCGATGCGTGCCGCAACTACTTAAACGATATTACGGTACCCGCGGACGCACCTCGAACCATACGAGGCTCTGTTTCGGTACGCGTTGAATGCTTCGAAGTAACGATTAAATAGCGGTACACGATATTGACTTACATCGTGGAATAACGTCCAGGCAGTGCGAGACAAGTCTCAATCGTACACGTTTCATCGGCGGGAATATGTCAGGAATAATCCGCGGTATCTAGATGTGTATGCGAGGTATAGTTAAGTTACTCTTTATTATTATCATTTATTGTGAAGAAAGCAAACGGAAATTTAAGCAGAATAAATTAGAATCGAAGAGCTCATTTTCAAAGCATTTCAAGTTGTTATTTTTAAATACTGGACATTTTATTAGAGAAAGTTACCAAGCTCTCCAAGGAACAACGATATGTATATAAAGTCTTCATAAAAAATATTTTTTCGTTCCAAATATGCATTTGTGAATGAGCTCTTCGATTTAGTTTAGGTTTTAATACGCAATAAGAATACAGTACAGAAAAAAGATATATATATATCTTGCATGACAAAGTGGAGAACTGAATCGCGTGTGTTATACTGATAAATCTCTTTCGAGAGTATTACCGTCTATTTTTTCCTCATCGATCTATAGCTTTAAATAAGACATCTTGCGCGAAAGAGTAGTCGCGTGAAAGCTAATTCGGATGCCAGCCGATACCGATGCGTTTAATAACAACACTTTCACGAAACTCGTGGTAAATCAAGCGTACTACTCCACCTGCGCTATCGTTCTATTAAATCTGTTTTGTCCGCTTTCGCATAAATTTGTTTTCTCTATTCGAGGGAGTGGCAAGCTCGTTTTCCGATTTTTCCGAGGAAAAGGCCTACAGCGATATAATTTCCGATATTAATTAGGACGAAGAAAACACACACATGGTGTTTCGTAAATCGAATACGTTCTCTTAATTGCTCGAAGTCAAGAATCACTGATGTCAAAACCGTCGATTTTGCAATGTCTTACAAAATCAAAAATGTCGATACTAATGAGAATTCTTTTCATGTAAGCAGCTGTCAATCAAGAGTCGAAAAAATGAACAATTCTTGACACTGCCTGTAGACATTGCTTATGGCAAGACCAGCATGAAAGCTTAATTTTTTCGATTTTTATTGCAAATAGAAAAAAATACACAACTCTTATATATTTAATATATTTTACATATATTCTCAAATACATCATATATTCAAATAAAGGATAAATGATATATGTAGATGATGTGTATTTTTTATAATACTGTAAGAATGTATAAGAAAGATGCACCATGTGTATTATGTATATGTGCATGCGTGCGTTACTTGAGAATATTATCTTCCTCTTTTCGAAATATATTGTAAATACTACGTAAAATATATGCAAGTCCGTTACGGAAGGATGAATGCTGGAGAAAATAGTGAAATAGCGTGTGTATTTTGAGATTCTGCGAAGATCAGTTGAAATGACATCACGTCGCGAAGCCGGATTTAAGTTTCCGCCCACCATGTGCGTGCTGCGGATTACGTTATGAGCAAGCCGCGCAAATATGTGCCGTAAATCGCGCCGTTGATTTTTTTTCACCCTTGCCACTCGAAGAGCGCCTTGCGCTATCTGCGGCGAGAATGAGTTGGCTGAATAGCAGAATAGCCTGATATCCCATGTTGAATTTTCAAGCGCTTGAGCTTGCTCAGGACACCGAGTCTTTTTTGGTTTACGCCGCTATCTTGTACCGCGTTAAACGTCTATCCTGTGGAATGCACCACGATATTCGTTATGCAGATATAGTCACGCTTTCGCATAAAGCCTATCCCGTTTGTTTGCAAGAAAAATAAGAAAATTATGAGAGACGCGATGTCACGAATAACGAGAGGAAGAAGTACTATACTTGTCGAATAATAATGGTCCCTCTTTCTTTTCTCCAAGTATCAAAATTCCTCACCAATCTTTCAATTTTTAAACGCGTGTAAATTAATGATATGATAAAAAAACAAGATGCGATTGATAATAATACTTCTGTGAGTAAAAGCAAGTGATTTATTTGTGTGCATTCAAAAATAACAATGACTTCGATATATAATTATATACGGCGATTTTCATTTTTCATCCATCTGTTGAGAACTTTTCTTTTAAAATTCTTGATAAATTAGTACAGAAATTTTTTCGACGTAAATGTTTTGAAGAAATTATGATAAAGATTGTTTTCTCTTTATGTCTGCTTTCAGATTGAATACCAGGTCACAAAATGGTATCGAGGCGGAAGATACTTTCGCGCTCGCGAGATAATCTCGTAGAATCGCAATATGAGGAACAAGACGAGGAGGATATATGGTATAATCTGGATAAATTGTATAAGGTAAATTCTCAATTAATACATAATAAATCTATAAATTTTTATGTAAAAATAAATGAAATCATGTTTAGCAACGTGATTTGCATGTCAATGATTCGTCGATATGTTAAATGATTTTTTATATTTGTAGGATCATATACAAGAAGTCTTAGATAAATGGAATCAAATAGATGACGAAATTTGGGCGAAAGTCATCGTCTTCGAGAGAAATAGACGGGTTGCGAAAGCGTATGCCAGAGCACCTGTTCTCACGATAAATGGCTCGAATGACGGATTTGATGGATTCAGGTATGTAATGCAAATTTAAAATACGAAATTATTTATTTTATATGAATTTTGTAAAATAAATATGCATTTAAAATCGTTTCTCGAAAGTCAGAAATTTTATTGGCCTATATCAAATTATGGAATTCGAGGAGTTCATGAATAGTTGATGTAAATACTTTCTACTATTAAATTTTGCATAAAGATAAAGCAACATCGCGAGAAAAATCATATTTGAAATCGTACGGATTATAATCCTGACATATTAATTTATAGGATAGGACTTTGTGGATTTGACAATCCCATGCGGGATCCGAAAACGGAGGAAGCCAAACGTCACATAAATCAAGGAGTTAAAATAAAAATGGACGAGCAGGGCAATATACTTATCAAAAGATTATGTAAGAATAACGTGTACGTCAAGTCGACGAATCAAGAGGACAACGCAATTGGGCCGGAAATTATACGTAATTCGCAAGGCGCGCTCGAACACGAAAAACCCGGAAAGGTAAGAGATTAATGAATTTCACGGTTTTTGAACGTCCGTGTGTGTTGGATTTCCTTCGTGAAATATTTATTTAGCGAAAGCATCGAAATAGGTCAATCACGCGCGAAGTGGGGTTTTAACTATCTACCTACTTCTCTCAATTAAAAAAAAATAATAATAACAAGCATCGCGTTTTCCTCACACACGTTCTCATGTTCGTTTTATCACGATATTTATGAGAATACACGTTGATAGAGAAACCATCGCCTTTCTAATTAAAATTGCAAACTTCGAGCAACCGAACCGTATAATAAGAGGCGTTTAAATCTCTTTATCGTCAGGAAATCATATACCACACTCGATACGAAAGGAGAGCGAAAAGTTCCGCCACTTAACACAATCCAAAGCAAACAATCATTCTTCCTTCCTTATATAGATTAAAAATCCCTATTCGCGTTTATTTCAAATTTTTCTTTATCGCTTTCATGTCCTTCTCTCTCGAAAAGTATTGATGCCATAAGGTGACGCAACTGCACTTTCCCCTTAATATCGCGGAACGCTACATGACGCGTTGGACATTGTCGTTTCTTGTTCCAGTTGTTCGACATGAATAAATTCCAAACAAATCTGTCGCGGGAAACGCGAAGGGCTTATCCGGACAGACGGCGATTGGAAATGCAGTGTCTGAGCGCTATCATATTCGTAAGAACGGAAGCCGACTTACTTCAATGTCCCGTATGGGTACTCATTGTCAATGTAGTCGGACTGGACATGCTCAAATCAAAACTGCCACCAGGTGAGAAAGCGTGTACGATGTACATTAAACACTATATATAATTTTTGTAAATACAGAGTATTCACGAATAACATTCAATATTTTTATAATCGAGTCCTATATTATAATCCCGCGTTAAATTAAAGTTAATTAAAAAATAATTGTCATAGTTCCTCAATTTTTTAAATAATATTTTAAAATTTTATCTTAAAGCAGATGTGTTAATCGGAGCATAATGTTTTCTCTGCTTTAATTTTCAATGTATGATTCAATATTGATATTGTGTAATTGCATTTCTGGAAAAGAGTGAGAAAAAGGAAAGTTAAATATATACTCGTAATATACATTATTACTTTATGTTTTAGTTTTAGCACTACAAAGGCCGGTAGATATAAAGAATAGACCTAGAATACCAATCCCTGACGAAGATCCTTATAGCGTGGCCGGCGTGTCATCGTCTGTAGGTCCTAGCGAATTAATGCCGGCGGACAGAGATTCGCGAGAGCAAATCTATATGCAATCGACGAGTTATCACCATCGACGCGCAGAGAGACCGCCGAAATTGCCCCCTCGAGAAAATCTCTACGGCCACGGTATCCCAAAGGTAAACATTAGAAATAAATAAATTTTAGAAAGATGTTAAAATTATGCTGTTATATCATTTTTACGATTATTGTTTCAGCCTGATTATGACGATATAGAAGATGACTATAGCAGAGCGATAAAGCATCCTATAATGAACGAGGAGAAGCGAAGTAAACACGACGACAGGAAAAAATATGGTGAGGAATAATGTTTTGTACATGTCTACAAAAGATTTAATAGATAATTATGTTAAAAATTACATTTCAAATTTATATGTAAAAAATTTAAATTTTTTCCTAGAAAGACATTTATATTTTTATATATTCTATTTACAAAAGAAGACTGATTATATTATGAATCTGATCTCTTGTGTGCATTTAGTTTATTAAGTTTCATATACAATAAATTACGATTATTTATTGTATGTTTCAGACGACCCATATTATTGCGGTTTACGAGCGCGTGTGCCCAATTTCGTTAAAATGGCGAGGAATGGTCATAGTAAGATGGGTCCTCTGCCTCCTCGAGGACACTCCAGGACACAGCAGGCGCCGTCTTACGCGGGTGCCGCATATGCTAGTAGTCAATCTTCTCAGATATATGGGCATTTACCTGCCCATCGACCACCCATCATGTATCACGCTAGAAGTTTTGAAAGTGGACTTGGTAAGGAATAATTAATTAATAATCATTTCTGCTCTATGTTTAAATTCTAGAAATTAATAATTAATCTCATAAACTTTAGTTTTACTGCGTACAATTAGAGATTTTCTTTTATTATCGTGGGTTAATATATCTTTTTCTGATATGGTATATAAAAATATTAATATACATTAAAATTTTATATATTATAGTTTAAAATAATATATAAATGTTCCTATATTTTGTTACGATGTACTTTTAAATTAATAGAAAATTTTTCTCTATATAGAGAGCTAATTATTCTGGTTAAATATCGCTATATATTAGACTGCTTTATGATCACGTTTATTGGCAATAATTGTTACTACACTTCCAGATTCGGATAATAGGAACGAGTCACCGTATAACCACATATATGGAAGGTTACCGATCCCGACGAGAGGCGTAATACCTCCGACACCGCGTGCTATGTATATTGGAGAGTGGGATTAGATATAAGGAATATCTCGGCGTTTGTACTTATAAACTCTCTGTATATTGTTAATACACCATATAAATACTCATATTTTTATGCTAGCATCTATAAGTGTTTATTGTTTTACTCCTGCAAATAAAAATTGTCAAACTTATGAGCATATGAGCGGGGAAACAAATTGAACAATTATTAGAATTAGGAAACTGCAAGCATAAATTCGTATATCTTCATTATTTATAAAATAATTCTACTATAAAACAGAGATCATTCAAAATTTAACGCGTCTCTTAACCAGTGTTATAATTAATGTGTCGAGATAATAAAATTTAAAGTATGTTTAAATATTCATACATTACAGCTCAGAATTGTGTGATAATTAATATTTAAATCGTCAATTTTTATCTTTTTCACGCTTGTATTTCTCTTAAAGAATACAATTTGTTCGCATTGTTACGTTTATAAGTTTTTTTTTTTAAATAAAAAAACGTATGCTTTAATCTCTTATCGATTTGGTAAATATATATCGAGAGTTAACTGTCAAACATTGAGTAAAGAAGAACAGGAGGGAGCATTTGGTGTTAAGCGAGTGGACGGAAGTGATTATATAAATGGACGCTCAAGATGGCCGCTCTGGGACGAATTGCAGCATATGACAGAGATACTGGAAGTACCTCAAAGGCCTGGCAATGCACCATGATGCTCTGATAATTTCACAATTAACACTTATTAATAATATCTTTTTAGCCTAATATCTTCCTCTCACTTATTTAGAATCGATGATTGTGCGCGAAATAAATGCAAACTGGAACAAGTAAGGCAACAAGTGGCTATACCCTGAAAAACGTCGAAAAAAGTGGAAAAAAGTTCCCTCCTGTTCTTCTTTATTCAATGCTGTCAAACCATCGAGTGATAAAAAAATTTTAAAGAAAATTTATAAATTAATAATATAAATTATTTATAGAAATAATTTATTTTTATACTATTTCATAAAAACGCGTCATCTTTAAAGGTAGAATATATATAATATTATTTTAGTTAAGAAAGAATAAAAACTTATTCACAAAAAAATTGTTTTTAAATAATTATCTCGCTTCCATATGTTTTTATCTTTAAAGATTAATAAATAGTTATTACCATCGCCGCTGCTTTACTTGTCGTGATAATCCACATGATCGCCCGCGTTGTATTTATGTTCTTTTAAGATCTCCACAAGACGATTAACTGTCTGTTCTGTTGTCAATACAGTATTGGTTTCATGCAAGTGTTGTATTATTTTGTTAGTTTCGGGATTGGTGATCGTTTTGCACACTGTTTGTAACATATCTGTATCGACGTGTCCCGGTGCATAACTTAATACATCAACATCAGGATTTTCCAAAGCAAAGACCTATACGAAATCAAAAATGTGTGTTAATAATTTGCTAAAATAATATATCTATGATCTCGTATGTGAAATGCATTAAAAAATTGTACACATATATAATACCTTAAAGTACATTTCTCGTGCTGCCTTTGCCGAGCAATAATAACCACAGGCCTTGTTTGCTTGAATACCATTCAGAGACGTAATATTGATAACCACTTTCTTAATGTTTGTACTGTCAAACAAATTCATAATTACCGCATTCAAAATAGCGGGCAGGAATAAGTTTAGGGATAAATTACTTATAGAAATGATTTATTTTTATACTATTTCACAAAGGTTAACGCGTCATCTTTAAAGGTAGAATATATATAATATTATTTTAGTTAAGAAAGAATAAAAACTTATTCACAAAAAAATTGTTTTTAAATAATTATCTCGCTTCCATATGTTTTTATCTTTAAAGATTAAGATATAGTTATTACCATCGCCGCTGCTTTACTTGTCGTGATAATCCACATGATCGCCCGCGTTGTATTTATGTTCTTTTAAGATCTCCACAAGACGATTAACTGTCTGTTCTGTTGTCAATACAGTATTGGTTTCATGCAAGTGTTGTATTATTTTGTTAGTTTCGGGATTGGTGATCGTTTTGCACACTGTTTGTAACATATCTGTATCGACGTGTCCCGGTGCATAACTTAATACATCAACATCAGGATTTTCCAAAGCAAAGACCTATACGAAATCAAAAATGTGTGTTAATAATTTGCTAAAATAATATATCTATGATCTCGTATGTGAAATGCATTAAAAAATTGTACACATATATAATACCTTAAAGTACATTTCTCGTGCTGCCTTTGCCGAGCAATAATAACCACAGGCCTTGTTTGCTTGAATACCATTCAGAGACGTAATATTGATAACCACTTTCTTAATGTTTGTACTGTCAAACAAATTCATAATTACCGCATTCAAAATAGCGGGCAGGAATAAGTTTAGGGTATAAAATTGTTTCCAGACATCTATATCCACCATCTCATTTACAAATTTTGTGACATCGCCGATAGTACCTACATTATGCACTACGACCACTCGATCAAATGCGTCGCGAGTGGTTTCACTTAGGCATCCCAAAATGGTCTCTAGAATAACATGGAGAAACAAAATACTCTTATAAAATTGTCTTTCCAGCACACGCGTTACCGATATAGTTATTTTTAAATAAGAAAAAAAAAGAACTCCAACTCACCTTCAAAATTGGTTTTCGTCACTTTCGCTTCACCAAGATCTATACTAACAGTATGAACTGTCACTTTGGGTGGTATATTTTTTGCGACTTTTTTTAAACCATTTAAATTTCTTGCTAATAAAAGAATATGCGAGCTCTCCTGCAGTAGCGAACCGAATGTTATCGCTATTTGACGACCGATACCACGACTCGCACCGGTTACCACTAAGAAAACTTTACCAGATAATGCTTCAATCGACATGGTGTCTTATATTGCAAAATTATAGAAGTTAATTATTGTCTTTCGACTTGTAGGTATGTTCTGTCGACAGTTGATTTATTAGTAATTCTTCCGTGATATTCTGTTGTTGCTCGGCTTCTGTGGTTGTTTGTAGTACGTCTGCCTTCAACAGATGAACTAATTCGCTAGCTGTTAAAGCCTGTGTATGAGAAACATAGTTATTAGTTACATACCATAAGGTGACAAATATAAGTTTGCAGATAAAATTCTCTTTGTAAAATATAATTTAATTTAATTTTTTGAAAAATTATATTGACTAAAATAAATATATATATTTTTATATTGAATAAAAAACAACTTAGTTTATTATTCTTATTCAATTTGCTCACTTGCAAATGTGGGGCTATATGTCGTATCGGAGGATTTAATGCCAAATCAGCTTCTTCCTCAGACTGGGGATTATTTCCGGAAGTAATTAAACGTGCAATGAAATCCTCCTTCGCTATCGACAGCGATGTTACAAGATCCTTTTATGTTATACCTCCTTGAAGAACTCTCAATGTGAAATCTAGTCTAGTACATTTACCAAAAAAAGAGTTAGGATCGAATCATAAAAATCTATGGCGATAACCGTGAATAATTATCAATTTTCTCCAAATTATCTCGCTTATCTCTGACGTTACTCTCATTATCTCTCGTTATCTTTCTTACTTTTTTCTCCATATCGCGCGCACGAGATGTTTAAAAAAAAATTATGATAATTGCACAAATTCTTTTCTGTATTGTTTCAAAATGAGAATCGTATATTTTCCGAGATCTCGATAGAGAGAAAGCAAAATATAAAAAGCGAGAAGTTGCAAGAAGAGGAAGAATCTTAAAGGGGCACGCCTACCTAGGAGGATTAAAAAAACATATTTTGGGAGGAATTTTTTTTAGAAAAACCAATGCATTTTTATTTAAAAACATTAGTATACTGTTAAGGGTACATATTGAACGTAATTCAATTTTTTTGTAAAAAAATATTAAAAAATAAAGGAGGTATAGTCGATGCCCGAGACGTTCTTGTTTTTGAAGCATATTCTGCGGTGACCATCGTAGCTCTGAGCAGGATTATATAAAATCAAAAATTCGAAAAAATTTAAATAATATATTAAATTATTTAGGATCCATTGGATCGGATTTTTGAAAAATTATTTAACAAAATGACGGCGTGGCAAAGTTGAAAAATCGGTTTTGGGTAAAAAAATGCTAGTTTTTCGCATGTAAAAAATCTAGGCAAAAAAAAAAGAAAAGCACCCGATAGCGCTTAGATTTTTAACTCTAAAATAAGCCTGAGAAATTTCAAGTAAATTTATTCATTACTTTTTAAGTTATGTTGGTCACCGATTTTGAAAATGTGATTTTGAGAAAAACGCGTTTAAATTTAAGTTTTAGATCGAAAATAACTGTTCTACACAGTTCAAGACTAATTGCTACTCTGCCAATCTAATCTACCTCTAATCCTACCGTTTTTATCTAACCTACCGCTAATTCTCTGCCGCGCGGCAGGTCTCATACCTGCTCTGAGCGCTACTTCGAGTAAACATACTTTATACTTCTATAATTTTGTCAATTTCTGTGCCCCCTTAAAAAGCGGACATGCGTCTATATATTTTACGGGTAATCTGGGCTGCGTTCAAGAACATCACCCGATTGATGTTCTCGAACACAACCCTGAGAAGAATAATATATATCTTACAAAGTCTCTTTCTGCAGATACTGATCTTAATCGGACAATCATCGATGAATCTTATCCAGGAAAGAATCCTTGAAATGATCGTTCGGCGAGTTGTCATTGACTGCCGTTCGCATAGTTGTTCTGTGTACCAATTAAGTTGATGGATTCTCGTGTCCTATGGCAACCACATATCATGGATTCTTTCTTGCCGCGCGTTAAGACTCGCGCGAATTGGCCGATCTTTTTTAATTATATAATTTCTTATTAATTATATTGCAAAGATCGCAAAACGGTAGATAACTTTTCTACTTGATTTAACCCGCTCTACCTGCACATTACGGGGCGATTATTATCAGACACCCTGTATATCGAAAGTAAACTGTCAAACTATTAGATCAACTGTTTTGCGATATCGTTTTCTTGCGCATTCTCGAATAATTAGCAGTGTCGTGATGTACATACAATTAAAAGATATAAATATTCAAATAAATAAATCTTGAAAAGATAAATTTCTAAAAAAAAAATAAGTATTTAAAAAGTAAATATATTTTAAAATATACATTCGAATCTTTATAAATCAAAAGATTTGAGTCTCCGCTAAGCGGGTTCGAATCTTCGCGCTGATATCATCAGCTGTAAATCAGCTGATCAGTTCTGTCAAACGTGCACAGTCTGTGTCTGTGCACAAATATATCTCGCGAAAAACAATACAAACTACGAATGTATATTGAGGATTTAAGATAATTGCGATGTGAATCACACTATGTCACGCGCGCGTGCGCGTTTACACACGAATGCAAAAACCTCTTATTGTGTGATCGCGATTATTCTAGTCAATCAACATGCTTACATCACATATATACGAAAGGATATTCTAAAAATACTCATATTGGAACATATATGCATATATGCACAAGTCGCACAAAGTTCTGAACAAAGAAACGAGCGATACGGATTTTACGGTAGAGCGTATTACTTATCGAGAGTTTCTAAATAGTCGCCAAATAAAGCGATTGCAAAGTGTATCAATGAGCGTATTCGTCGACAGTTTCATCAAGAATTCTGCTGCACAGAGCAATTATTCTTCCAGTGAATATTATAGAGAAATCAATGGATCGTGCTATCGCAGAGTGGAAACGTTATATACTAGTGCAACCGCCTATGATGCTACTGATGCTCGCTATGTCAATGTCAGGTAATAAACCAATCTTTTATATTGGCACAATAGCTGATATACATATATTTTCCACAGGTGCTATCTTGACAGATCTGATAGTATACCGTACATGCATTATAACATTAGAAATAAACAAGACAGAGTGCCTGATACTTCATAATAATAGCAGCAGCGAGGAGGCGCTTAGAATAAATACAAAAGTACAACCGCAGGCAAGTTTAATTCTAATGAGTAAATCCTTCATCGAAAGTATTTTTCCCTCGTTCCTATCTTTGTTTCTGGGACCATGGAGTGATAAGTATGGAAGGAAACCTGTTATACTTTCAGGATATATAGGTAATTACATTTATATGTTATAAATATCATTATAAAATTCTAGAAAGAAAATTATATTGATTTTAAAAGTGTTACATATTAATTTATAATAACTAATAGCTGATAATTGATTATTTATAAAGATAAATAAAAAATAGATCACATAAAAAGAATGATATAGATTAGATAATAAAAGATGAATTGCATATTATTGCTACAATCAATTTTTATAGAATTCCTAATAAAAAGATTCTAAAGATCCTAGACCTCCTAAGAAACATAGCTGTTTGCATTTTTCATAACTCTGTATATATATATATATATATATATATATATATATGAAGCAAATAATTTATATTTATTTAATATTGAATTCTTCTAGGTATATCTTTAACTTATCTTCTGCTCTCTATGATAGCTAATTGGGAGATCGTGCCTTGGTATTTTTTGATAGCTTATATTCCTGTGGCTCTCCTGGGTGGTATAAGTGTGTTAATGTTAGCTTCATTTTGTTACATCACTGACATAACTGATAATAATGAACGGGCATGGCATTTGGCCTGGTTAGATGCATTAATCTCTCTTGGTGTGCTAATCGGATTATTTTCCGGTCCGGCAGTATATGAGGCATATGGATACACTGCTGTGTTCAGTGTTGCGACTGTGCTGTGCATTGTAGCAACATTGTATATATTACTTTTTATTCCAGAGACTGTACAGAGTCATACTTCTGTGAGTGTTTCAAAATATTCGTTAAGTCAAATTGCAGATCAAATACTCTCGATGCACTTAAAAATTGGCGTGAATCAATATCATTCTTTTCATAAATAATAAAGTAAATAATGACTGTTCATTTATCTTTATAGGGTATCGGCGACATATTTGATTTTATGTTTGTGAAGGATCTTATTAACACATGTATCAAGAAGAGAGATGGATTTAATAGATCGTTGGTTTGGAGCTGCTTAGCTTGTCTTACGTTACTTTTAATTGCCTTTCAAGGTAATCTTGCTATTGGATATTTATTTGCGAGTGCGCGGCTTGGTTGGACTGTAGACCAGTTCTCTACTTATGTAGCTACAAATGTTCTGGTGGGAATCCTCGGCACGATATTTGGTGTTAAATTAATACGAAGATGCACAGGTATCGTTTTAATGTTTGTATCTTTATCTTTATCTTTAATAATGTCTGTATCTAATGTCTGTATCTTTATCTTTATCTTATTGTATTCACTTATTTGATGCATAATTTATAAAGAATTTATAAAACATCTGAATTATATCTAGGGTTTTCAGAGGCAGTAGTTGCCATAATATCAGTTATGTCATCTCTTTGTACTGCCTTAGTGTGTGCTTTTACATGGCAATCCTGGCATATGTATCTGTCAGTAAGTGTTGGTATATTTGGTGATTTATCTCGACCAATGATACGTACTATATTATCCAAAGCAGTACCTGAGAAGGATACAGGTACAAATCTTATCTTTTAATCTTAATAATTAGATAATTATTAAACATCAAAGTGAGAATATTCATAGATATATATTCAAGTATATGATTATTAGTTTTTCTAACATATTCACATTGAGAAATATATTTTTACATTTATTTCAACAGGGAAGGTTTTCTCTCTAGCAACATTTCTAGAGACACTGTTACCATTTGCTGCAGCTTCTTTATACACTTTTCTTTATTCTCACTATATGCCACCTTCGTATCCTCTGCCAGTGTGGTTTTTATCAGCAGCATTTTACATCATAACAATTATAATATTGATATATATTCAGATACATATGAGACACAATATTATATCTTTCACCCCAATGATAGAAGATAATGATTCAACTCAATGATATTTATCAAGTAAAATTAAATATGAAAATTATTTATTTCAAGATAAACGAAGTAATCAGCTAATAATGAAAAGATGATATTTTAATATGAGTATTTTTTAATAATATACAAGGGGAGGAGGCACATGTATCCTTTATATACATAGATATAAAATTTTTATATCGTGTATATATATATTTAATATATATTTTTTTATATATTAGAACAATTATTTACATATATAAGAATATACAAAATGGAATTTATATATAATTGAAGCAAGCAATATCATAGAAAATATGAATATTGTGGTTTATTTCATAGTCTGTGATTTTAGAAAATAATATACAACCCTTGTGATTTTAATTATTGATTATTATATGAATATCATGGATTTCTAGTACTTAGTCGTAAAAGAATTTTAAAGAAAATTTATAAATTAATAATATAA